AGAGAAATACCTACATTAATTATATGCTAAAGCTTTGGTACTTATGGGAAGCTGGAGCATGTATCTTCACATTTTATCATCTTTTATTTCTCAAAGTTGCCGTCAATGAGCCTGATACATTAGAAAACAAGGACGGGAGGTGAAAAAGTCCATAATACTTGTTAACCATGAGAAAAAGTGAAAGAGAACAGGACAGTATGTCAGAAGACCTGGGCTGGAATAAGCCTTTTCACTTTTTAAGTTTGAGCAAACCAAATGACCTTGAACCTCAACTTCCTCCTCTGAAAAATAAGGATAAACACTAAACGACCCATTAGACACAACTTTAAGAGGTTCAAATGAGATTCTGCTGAATAAAACAGTCGCAAAACTTGAAGGCACTATCTTCACCTAAACTTTAACATTTAATTATCAACCTCCTCATTATCCTATATCCTCATTTGTAAATCCAACCTGATTTTTAGTTTATATTAGAATTATTGGCTTTGTATTCTCAAGCATTTATTTTACTGTATGCCAAGAACACTGAAAGAAAGAAAAAAGGCTTTGTGTGAATAAAAAGAGCTCTTGTTTTTATTTCCATTTCCAACTTAAGAAATTGAGCAGTGAACAACAGTTTAGAAAACACAAAAGCTTTTAAGCCTCCTGTGGAATGAATGTTGCTGGAAGGAAGGGCTCTCTGAATATGTACAAAGGAAGACAACACGCTCTCGCTGTACTCCGCCGGCTTACGGGGTCTAACGGCCGTACACATACATAAAGGCAACGGAAAAATTTAGAATGCACATCTTCTGAACTCATAAAATATATATTTATGCCATAAATGAAGAGTTAAAATAAATGGATAAATGGATAGAGAATGCATATAATAAAATAGACTTCTGTACCAGGGCGTGTATATACATACATACATATATATATATATATACACACACACACACACACACACACACACACACTCCTTTTAAAATTAAAATGTATCCCATCCTGTCTCTTACCACGGCTTGGTGAGACACCTCAAGGTCTCTCACCAAGCCATCTCTACCAGGGCTTGGTGAAAATGTGTATATATACATACACATGTATATGTATATACACACATTTTAAAACTCAAATGTATCCCATTGTGTCTCTTAGGAAACGTTACAAACACCTATGGATCAAGGTTTACTTTAACTGCTAGAATTGTTGTATTAGCAAGAAATTTCTGTAAATGTTATTTCTTAAAAAAAAAAATCAATCTGAACCTAGTTACCCAGAAAATCTTCCTAATAATTATGTATATATTCTAGAAATATATATATTCTAAAATATAGTATTGGTAATCCATTAAAAACAACTCTCTCATGAAAAAAGGATAGGTTGAAATTATTAAACCAAGACATGGAGTGTGTGCTCACCCAGCCCTCAGAAGTGTCCTCTTGAAAAACAAGTATGTATTGAAAAGGTATTGGTAAGACTACCATGAAATGAAAGAGAATTTAATCAAGAGTGTTTTTACTGCAATCAAATGAAAGTAGAGTTTTATACTTATGAATATGAATTAATGCTGCGTCCTTTTAGTATTTTATCAATCATATGCAATTCTAAACACAAACATTTTGGACTTCTTTTGTCTGGTAATGAAACGTCATTCACTGTTAATGATGAAGCAAAATACAGAGGCAAGGAATACACACTGAACTCCCACTATACTGAAGGCACTACTGCTGCCCTGGACACACACAGATCATCATAGCACAGATGGTGCAACTGAGGATTGAGAGGTATTCACACAGGGTGAGACGGGCATTTAAAGAAGCATCGCAGAAGACAAGGAACAATAAGGGAAGCAAGAGAGAAATATGCTTCACAAGAGCCACTGGGAAAAACTAGTGGAGGAAAGCTGGGATTTCAGCAAGAAGCTACAGGTTACAGAGAACGTATTCAGATAGTTTTAGAAGCAGGTAGCTTGTAGGCAACAGGTAATGATGTAGGCCTAAAACCCTGATTACCAAGGGCAGGGTGGGCGAGAAGCTGCAGATGATTTGAGGAATGCTGACTATCTGCTCTAAGCAGGGCGATGCTGGTAGGCACGGCCGGGCAGCGGGGCAGCCAGGGCGCACAGCACCCCGAGGCTCGGAGGGATGCGCAGACCCCACGGCAGCCCAGGCGGGAGCACGGGCCCGGCCCGGCGGAGAAGAGGGAGGGACTTTTCCCGGGGGTCAGGGAGGACCGCATCAAGGGCTTGGTAGGCAATGGAAATGCAGGGCCCTTTTCTCAAAAAGCAGGGAAAGAGTACCATTAAACATAGACGAATAAATATAATAGTTTTTCATTCTTTGGTCTCTCTTTTACCAAATCATGATTGATTGATTGATTGATTGATTGATTCACTTTGCTCAACCCATGCTCCATTATCTCTGTACACTTAACACAAACTTACTGATGAACTTATGAAGACATTTAAGACGTGACCTCAGAGCATCGGACCCAAGCGCAGGGCCTTTCTGGGCGCGAGGCCGACACATGGCGCTAGTCACACGCTCATGAACTGGTGCTGCCAACAGCTCAGAGATCAGCTGGCAAAAGCCAAGAATAGGGCACCATCAGTGGGAATGGAAAAGTCCAGGGAGGGAGAAAGAGTAAATCTGTGTGTCTAAGGCACATCCAGATGGATGCGCCCATTTGACCTGAAACTTGACAGTCATTGGACATAAAATTTGAGTCTAAGAGGGTTGGCAAAGGTAACTAAGGTTGGAATGTGGCTTACCAGGTGAAGAATGTTTTCATGAACCCAAGAAACAACCCCAGAACAAACATGGGTTGTCTGTGATGGAAGGAGGTAACAGATGCAAGAAGTTCACTTTAAGATGGTTACTTGGTACATCAGTAGAAATATCAAGAGGCTTTATCGACTCTGATCTGCATCCTGGGGAGCAGAGTCATTTAAAAATCATTCACGTGGACCTAAGGGTAGAAACAACGGGTGGAAGGGGTTTAGGGATAATAACCTGCTTTAGAAGCCCGTGCTCAGCCCACGCTAGGTCAACACAAATGTCCTAGTTTTGAAGAGTGGAAAAAAAAAAAAAAGAAACAGTACAACTTCAGACCTGGCATAACATCATTCAGCTTTAAACGTAGCTTTTCATTCCTGCACTATATTATGGAACGAATGCCTATGCATCAGGCAAAGAACCAAAAATGGGAAAGAGGCAGAGAGGAGACGCGTGAGATGTGTGCAAGACGGTAACTGAAGAAACAAGGGTACAGTGACTGACACTGAAACCAAGAGATAAAGGGAAGTTAAACAAAATTTTCTATTGTGCTGATCGTGACTTATGAAACAAGTGAAGCAGTTAAAAAATGTATTCACTTGGAAATATAACTTTCATAGGTTTATTTTAGTAGTTTTCAGACCCTGAAAGAAGAAGTAACAGTAACTGCATTTCTTTTCTCCATGTTCATTAACATCTCAAGTCAGGTTTTCTTACCTATGTATATCATTAACTTGGAGGATATCAGGAAGCTAATGTAATGGTTATACCACTTCTGCCAAATTTATTTTTAACTGCACCTAAGCATCCAACTCTATACCATTTTTTAATCTTTTAACATTACATTAATAAGCTGATTAGTCAAGAATTATATTTACTACTGTGTTAGGAAGTATCTTGCAGAGACAGTAATTGTAACAAAATATGCATGTATGTTTTGCTAGTTGAGCATACATTAATATGCATATATTTAATTAGTTTTGCATGTATTTTGTATACATATGCTAATATGTATATGCATATATAAAGTCCTATGTGGGTATATTTACACATGTTATTTTAAAGACCAGAGCCTGAAAGAAGGACTGTGTATCATCATGTGTAAGTCTTAGGCTAAGTTTTGAGAAAGGCGCTCTCTAAATAAAATCATGGCTGGTCTATTTGAATGTTTTCCCTTTTAAACAGCAGGATTTCTTCCATACTGTATGTGGCATATAATTACTACACTTGAACGCAATACTTTAATGAAGACCAGTTTAATTAAATTAAGTTTCTCCCTTGTGGTGACTCAATCAAAATGCATCATACTCTCATTATAATGTTATCTGTAGGAGCCCAACATTAGAAGTGCTATAAGGAGGGTTTATTTTAATGAGGGCAGCAATAATAAACTCCACTTTATCAAGTTACACAATGCAATATTGTAACTGAAAATTTCATATCAAGTTCACAGCATATGCATTTTAGTTCCTAATTAGCTTAGTCGGTTTATGTTGCTTTATTAGAGCTAATGCCATTCAAATAATTATCTTTTGTTTGACTAATATTTATGACAAGCCTTTACTTAATCTGGTATAATTAAATTTACATAAAAAATTAAACAATTTATTTCCAATTCAGTAGTTATCATTGTCATAGGCTTGGTTTAGAGAGGATTCATTTTTACTTCATGGAGTCCCGATTAGACTGGATGTATTACAGCTTAAAGGAATTTCATCTAAACTTTAAGGGGTCAAGTTGGGTTCAGGAAAACTCAACAAACTCAGTGAACTAGGGAAAAGAAGAGGGATTTGATCCAGTTATCTACAACTGATAGCATTTTGAATATGCATAACTGCTTATGTTTGATGGGATTTAATACCATCTGCACTATAATAAATTAGATGATTATATCCTTCAGGTATTTGCGATGAAAAGCAGAAATAGAAGTGTCTTCAAAGAATATATTCTTTAGGGGAAAATGCTTCAGAAATGTAACAGTAGTAATTAGTTTTTTTATTGGACCAAAATCAAGCTGCAAAATTATAATCACTGGCCAGATTTTCATTTCAGTGTTCATTAAAACCTGAGACAGCCTAATACAGCAGAAAGAAGTCTAGAATTTACTGATAATTCTATTTATTGGTCTCCCTACAAAGAGAGCTCAGATTCATCCTAGTTTCCAGTTTCTTTCTCTCCCTCTGGAATTTAGTTGGCCACTGAGATCTATCAATCATACCACCTAACTCTTTCTTTTCTTTTCTTTTCAATATAGAATGCTTTATGAATTTGCATGCCATCATTGTACAGGGCCATGCTAATCTTCTTTGTGTCATTCCAATTTTAGTATATGTGCTGCCGAAGTGAGCACCCACCTAACTATCTCTTGAACCCATCCATCCCTTCCTGTCCCCATTGCCATCCTCCCTATTCTGGTAGATCAGACTATTACAATAGCTCCTTGATCTTCATGCCTCAGACTCAGCCCATTTCAAACCATCCTTCATCTTGCTTGCTGAGTAACTTCTCTATCTCAGAGATGCCTCACTGCTTCATTCCAAGCTTAGAGTAGGCAAGAGGGATCAGTACCTTGGGCTCTGCCCTTTGGAGGGCCTCATTTTCCTTCCTCTAGCCATATCTCTCCCCAAGGTATAAGGAAGGTACAGGGCAAATGGGATGCACCCATTGGATTTATCACATCTTTGCTCCAAGACCATAATCACTCTACATCATTGAGGCAACTTCTAAGGCCTGCCATAACCTCTTCCTCAGGTCCTTCTTAGGCCTGAGAAGTGGCTAAGAGGCATCTGTTTGGGGAGAAGGAGGACAGAGCTTGGACACAGAGGTTGGGCTGAAGTTGTGGGGACTAGGGTGGGAAGAGTTCTGGGATCTCCCTACACTGCCATGTTACCATGTGGGACTCAAGTGATCAGAAATACTGGGGTTCAGATATGAGTGACATGCAGGTGTGTATGCGTGTGTGTGTGTGTATGTGCATGTGTGTAGTCCAAGGAAAGGGCCTAAGATTCAACTTCATTTTGATGTTTCAAGAAACATCATATATGCAAAGAGTATGGGAAAATGTTCCACAAACAGAATTAATTTGCCTGAAACCAGAGCTCAGAATTGAAGATGACCACAGGTTATAAATGCATTTATAGAAATTTCAAGGTGGCCATTTGATTATCCACCAATCTCAGAGTCAATTATCCAAGTTTGAACCATTGATCACAGAATGATTAATTTTAAATAAATCACTCTAAGTGCGGTACAGAGGATGTAAAGGATTGGAAGCATTAGTTGGCCACCACAATACTTTAAATGAGAGATGATATCAAGTATTTCTAGCTACTTAGTTACCATCAATTGTGTTCAGTTTCCTTGAAATTTGCTGGTTTTCAGTGCACTACAGTGCCAGTCTTCATTAGTCTGTCCAATCTCATATGTAAGCCTGAATTATATTATTTTATATAGCAAGTAAGTGACAGGTATTACTTTTGGGAAAATAAACTTGTTTTTCCACAAATTTCTTATCAAAGCTCTTGTCTAACTGACTTCGACTGTCACCCATTTGGCTGAACCATTCGACTGAACCTTTTGGCAAGTCGCATCTTGCCCCATTTCCATGTGACTTGCTTCCCTGCCCTATCTGCCTCATTGGGTGTTTGCCACGCACAATGGGAGAGTTAGTTGTTGCTGATTCAGTTGAGGTGTCTTAGGCCTCTCCACTGTGCCCAACCTGAAGCCAAACTCAGCAACACCCATCTTCACAAACGTTAGCCAAACCAGATATTTTATTAAAGGTTTCATGGGGTGGCAGCAAAGATGACTCATTTATCCACAGAGCAGAAATTCAATCAACTCCCACGAGACTTCTCTGTATTCTCCCATAAAATCCCTCTCTCTGGCTTGTTACATTCCTGTAACTCTCTCTTCCTTTACACAGACTCTAAAAGATCATTTCTATTACCTAGGACTATTCCCCATCTGCCTTCAGTTAGTACACACCATTCAGCAAAAATAAAGTAGTTAAGTAAATACTGTCCTAGACCATCTGCTATTCTTCATGCATGTGCCTTAAGGAATCACCCACATGAAACAGGATGTTCCTTGGGAAAACAGGGAGTGTTCTCCTTCTAGGAAAGTATCTCACATTTGCAATAGGAACAGATTCTGTCCTTATTCAGATTATTAGACAGTTTAGTGTTTCTCAAAATGATACTCTGCCTGACAGAACTGTTTTCCAAAAGAAACATATTTCTTTGGAACACCAAACATAAAACTCAGTAACAGTTGTTTGCAACTATACAATTTCCTGAACAGGAATGAGGGAATAAAGATATCAAAGCTGAAACAGGGTGAAAAAGACGGAGCTGGGCTATAATTGTCAGCTCTGCTCTAAAGTTGCTCGCAAGCTCTTCAATTACACAAACTAAGTCAAACACCTGACTTCATGTTTTTGTCATGTGTTTCCTCTCTGGGAGATGCAAGCAAGTTTTAACTCATTTTTTTTTGGTTTGTTTTTAAGCTTCATCTTTGTGTGTGTGTGTGTGTGTACACACCATTTACCTTATTCACCTGAGAATATTTTCCAGACTATCTTAAGTAATGGTGATCTCGTGCACAGAAGTTCTGTTTTCTGCCTATGACTTCTGACCTGGTTTCAATCTCCACATATCTGAATGTTGACCTCGTTTCAATCTCCACATATCTGAATGTTTTCCTAGGTAGCTCAGTTAATTTCTGAATCACTTAACTGTCTATCTTAAAACTTATTTTCATTGATCCTTTAAAAAATATTCTTAATTTATGTCTAGGTAATTTTGAAGTTTCAAAGAAACAGCTAATAACAGGCCACAGAATTGTATAGTAACACCACCACACATAACAATGCCGCAGAGAAGCATTGGACACTTTAGCCATTTGCTGACATCAGAGTATCTGACATCCATTTCAGTCGTTACAAGTGGATGGAGATGACTACTTCAGTTAAACTGCAATTGAAACTTTTTCCTTTGAGATTTTTCTTTTTTCCTGTTTTTGCAATGAATTTTGAAGGAAAGTGCTTTAAGTTGTGTGTATTGAGGCATGCAGGTGATAAAGAGATATCAATGATGCAGCTTCTTTAGTTCAGCTGAGTTCTTTACAATATGTAAAACTGATTAAAATGTTGCCTCATCACTAGTAAACTGGGCTGGGGAAGAGAAGGGGAGGAGGTCAGAAATGACCAGAAACAAAATTTAAAGCCGACAATAGGCAAGCTTCCGTTTTTAAGTGTATTGACCTTCTTGACGTTTTGCAGCAAGGATGTGGTAAAGAGGACCCTGGGTCCCCGGCCTTACCACTCGATCCCCACCAGGAACAGCCACCTGATTCCAGGAAGACACCGTGTTTCTTAGTGCAGTGTATTGAGGCGGCCCAATTTACATTTTAGTAAAACTACAGCCATATGAATGGAATGGCAGACAAACAAGATTAATCCCATAGAGAATCAATAGTGTACGACTGCCTACTTTGCATATATACAAAAGGTACAACCAGCTAGATATGTATGATAACAGAAAGCATGTGGGAATCCCATGTGGGAGCAATAAATTAAGGGTTCACTGATTTTAAAACCCTGAGATTTCACGACTCAATGGCCCTTCCTCTGGCTGCCGTAGGAGTGTGGGGGTGGGGTCCGTGTCCCCTGTCCCCTGAACACCTGGCAGGCTCCATCTGCTGGGGCTCTGCACCTTAATCTGA